CCCTGACTACAGCGAGGTAATCAGGTATCTTTTTCCCTCATTTCAAGCAGGAAGTTTTCAGAAGTTGCCTTTTTTTTTTTTTTAAAGAAAAAAAAAACCTTTTTATCTTTTATGGTTAAGTATGGAAAACAGTTTATGTGGTAAACTCCAGGGAGAATACCAAAATTTTGTTTGTTGCATCTAGATTTCATAGAAAGAGGTCTAAGAACCTACACCCAAAGTCTGAATTGAAATGAAGCATTTAGAGTTAATTTTATTTTAGTGACTAAAGAAAAACTGACAACCAAAGACAAATGTAATCCGTCTTCAATAGAAACACTCCTGACTCCTTACCATGAAAAATCTGCACTTCATAGCTTTTGAAATTCTAGCAAGCATGTGTGCATGTAAACATACACAGACAGAACTCTGTCAATAAGCAGGAGGACAACAACATATTAAATCTGTCATCACAAACCATGCTAATTCATTCTTAATGCATCCATGACTAACAGAAGAAAAACAAATCAAATCCCAGCTTGATTACACAATCAGCATTTCAGCCAGTGTTCTGTAAAAGGTGTCTTCAAAGATCGGACATATACACTAAATTTTTAGAGGATGATCCTACATAAAAATATTGGTTTTGAAAAGACTTGTGGATCTTTTGAAATATGCAAGTAAGTTTTAAAATCCTCCAGATTGCTAGTTATCCAGGAAATACGAAACTGATGTGTTTGAAATAACAATGAGTTCATCTCCTTTTATATGATTCCATATAAATGTTTCTGAAGAAGAAAAAGTTTTATGATTCCTTTAAATAAGTACTGATTTAACATGTTCATGTTAAAACACCTAAACATTCTGGGGTTTTTTGAGTTGCAGACAGTCACATAAATTGCTTGCTAAACTTCAGTAACAGCTTTTGCCATAACTAACTCAGATATCAGTAACTACAATGCAGACAAAAACTTAGGTCCACTGAATCCCACCTCTTGCTTCAGACAAAACTTATCAAATCAGAATTCATTTTTAAAATTAGAATAGACCATTTTAGAACTTTTTAACAACTATGCTGTTTGTTTTTTTTTTTTAATGAGATGTCTGCATGAACTAAGACCTGCTAATTTCAAGGTCCTGTTAGCAAACTGCCTTCCAAATTTCATAGTGCCCAAGAGTTGCAATACAGCAAACATATTCAAACTTTGTCATGTGTGAAGTTGTGTCAAGTAAAAGAAAGCTATTACAACAATCTGCCACCTAGGATTCTTCTCTCATCCTGGGAGCTTTAAAGAAAATAATTTCCCCGGAGAACCAGAGAAAGTGAAATAACCAGGAAAAAAAAAAAAGAAGTAATGGAAATTCCCTTACACCACGGTATTTTAAAGCCTGACAAGTCATATAGTTGATATGGCAGAATCTCCGCTGGAAAACACTCAAAATGAATGAACAATCCCACCCAAAGGTTTCCCTGCTCTTTTGTTTTGTGAAAGTGCTACTGATGAACAGCTACACGAGCACACAGAACCATAAGTCAAGGTAACAAATTCTGCCTCTGGTTTTATCATGTAATAGTGGTATAGCGCCTGCTACAAACTAAAAATTCTTCTAGTTACATTTTCAGGTCTGTAAAGAGGAGGAGAATATCTTACTAGCAGAGTGGTATCAGTTGCCACAACTAGATTCAACTTAGTCAGTGGAGCAGTATAGGAATAGTGCCCCTACTATTCATTTTAATGAGTAGAAAAAGAATTAAACTGGAATCTCATTACCACAGGACAATCTGGTGGTTTATTACACATAACTGCCAACAATGCAACATCTGAGGGATGCACGTGGATTTCAGTGCATCTGTAAAAGTTTAGCAGGCTGGACCCTTTTTCCTTGGTAACACCTTTGAACAACTTTTATTGAATGCAATCTGCTTGGATTGAATAGTAAAAGCCAACTGCAGTCAGGAAATACATTCAAGATGAAAGCTTGTCCCAAGAGGAAACACTGAGCTCCTTCTGGGCAGAACTGCCTATAGAGCAGCAGAGGTATTATTCAATAGTGCTCTGTCTGTCCTCTTTAAGGAAGCACATAAAGGAAATTATTCCACTGAAGAGACCAAACACTGTAATTCTAACTTCTTCACCAAATTATGGTTTCAGTTTGAATAAAAGTTGTCTGCATTCTTAAATCAAAAGGAACTTATTTCACCTGCAATTGTACAGAGTAAAAGTGAGGACGTGTTGATCTAACACATTTTCTTCCACATCATCTTTTTGAAAAGTTCTGCATTTATAAAGTGTACCAGAGTGTACAAAACTTTCTAAATGTTGTACTCCAGAGTAGAAAACTACTGTTAATGCAATTCTGAAGTAAGATTGGAATCAGAATTAATATGATTTAGCACTTTATCATTGACCAGAACTCCTCTTCTCTTGAGATTTCTTTAAATGGCACTGAAAATCTTTTTGAGAAGGCTCTTTGTCAAGGCTGGGTTTCTACATAATCAATTTTGGATCATATAGAGTCCTCACAAGATCAGCCTCTTCCCACTGTTATTTTGTTATTTAAGCATTGGATGTAACTGCACAAAGGAAAATCCTTGTTAACTAATACTGTTAATTGATTTGTTCTCAGTTTCTCAATGACTTGATCCAGGGGAATGAAAAAAAAAAAAAAGAAAAAAAGAAAGATCTTAGAACTGCTGAAGAGAAATGTAGGAATAAATTCTCACCAGTGCTTGTTAGTTTATGAAAAAAATTGTCAGCTTGGTAAACTGCAACATCAGTAGTTACTCAACGCTAGGTTCATCAGAATATTTTACCCATAAAAACACAGCAATCAAAAACCATTTCTAGCACTTCACCTCCCTCTCTCTGGCACTTTCTTTTCTTAGCTTAAAATGTTACTGTTCCTTTTGATTGCAACTCTTAAATTCTTCATTTCCAGGTCTGTAAAACACACACAAGAACACTTCCATGGTAAAATGACCTGAGATCGGTGGTTAAGACAATTTTAATATGGCCACTATTACTTTACTGCCTGGCCCACTGCATCCATCCCAATCTGGGGGTTGGACTCGATGATCTCTGGAGGTCCCTTCCAACCCCTACAATTCTGTGATTCTGTGATCCTCCTATGTTCAGCCCATAAACATACCTTGAAGAAATTTTAACTAGCATTTAAAATGCATTCAGTTGCTTTGTTAACAGACATACCCATCTGATGGGCATTGGAATGATTGACTTTACCTGCTGGCTCTTAAAATTCCTGTTTCAAACACAGCCTGTGAGCCTACAAAGCTCCATTGTTCGCTTCCTTATAGGTGATAATGAAGTTGGCATCTAGTTCCCACTCCTGAATGGTTTCCATGAGGCTTTGAAAAAGTTGTTTGCTATTACTAGTATTATATAACCATCTTAGTTTCAGCACTCATAAAAGCTTGTTCTTGTCAAATACCTTATCTCCAAGATGGTATTAATAACTAAACATGAGTCATGCTAGGTATCAGACGTATGCACTTACACATTATACACCCTAAGGATTTTTCTAAAAATCAGTTAAATTTGTTAGTTAAGTGCATTGTTAAGGCATTATCCTATGATGTGGGTGGCCCTTCTTTTACTGCTATGCAAGTGGCCCTGATGCACTTCTGCCTATACACAAGCAAACATTACACTGGAATCTGAACAGAAAATCACAAGCAGACTGCATTACCAGATAGGAATCTTGCCTTGTCCAGATAATCATTAAATTAAGATTTAAAACTTGTATTATCCATGCTTAATAAGTCAAGATGCAAAGCACCAAGCATTTTGGCCTGAGTGTAGCAAACTGGATCACATGCTCAATCTTAATTACATAAGTAGTCCTATAAATATCAGCAGAGTTAAGTAGGTGTGTTAAAGCTAAGTTTCATCAGTAGCAGTCTTCAGCATTTTGCAAAATTCATTCACCAAAGAAAGATCTGAACATGGGGTTACAATTACCTTGACAAAATATGTATCTACTGTAAGAATAACAAGGTGTACCCAAGATAGAGTACTATTTTTATGCGAGTGGTTGAAAATTAACATATTCTTTAAATGTAACTCGATCAGAACTGGTATATTCTGTCCAAGGAGAAAAGAGATGTGTCTCTGTGTGGTCATCAGAAAAAAGAGTAAAAAGCATTCTAACAAACAACTTGAAAATACAGATGTGCATTCACTACAAAATATCAGAAAGAGATCACAAACTTGCACTGTCTGTCACCTCAACAGACAGGAGTTGTGTTTGTGCCCTCAGCACATTGAACTGCAGCTATCACAATGTTCTGAACAATCACACTGATATTTTATCATTTTTCAAAGTTACAAGATGGAAAAACTAATAAATGCAAAACAGTTCCTCAGAACATACTCATCCCCACACAAAAGCCTTTGCCAGATATTTTTAGATGAAGTGACACAAATTATACCTTCAACAACTTTTCATCTTTTAGGTCTGATGCAATATCTTACCAAAAAATAGGGATATCAAGAGGCTCTTTTAATCAAAGACTATCTGAGACCATGAGTAGCTTGCAAGCATTCTCAAAAGGACTCTACTCTTCCATAGTCCTTTGTATTTTATTAAAAAAAAAAATTATATTAAAAAATATTAAATGAGTCCCATACGTAAACTTCTACCCATCAGTCCTTAGAACAGGATTTAAAACCTTTGCAGCCAACAGTGCATCTCAGAACATCTGAAGTAACCATTCACCTCGTTTTTGCCTGAAAAACACTGGCAAATTTCTTGGCATGAAATTTACCCACATATTTCTATTCTCATGATGTTGGCATTCCACAAATGTTCTGGGCTAGGCAATGGATACTTCCACTAGACATCTCCTCAAAATCAGCAATTAAACCAGACAGTCACAGTGGTTGCCAGTAGCATTTTGTTAACTAGCTGGATTAGAAAGCATTGGCATGGGAACTGGAGGATTTGAGCTGAAATCACTCATGTCTGAATTCACTGCAAAGATTTGGATGATGGTCTCCTACCTTTCAGGTATCCTTTCAGTTGTCACTCAGCCAAGCCTCTTTCAGCCTCCACTGCTAAAGATCTTTTAATCTGCAAAGTAAAGTAAAATAAATATTAGCCAGGGTAAGGAATAGATGTCAGGCCACTTTTATTTGCAGACAAGTCTCTAACTAGGTTGAGAAGCCATTCCCTATGTTCACTGAACATTGTTAATTGTCATATAAAATGAATGGTCTTCAACAGCATGCATGAGATGCACCCACACTGTGTCAAAATGATGGGACTCCCTTAGCCAGGGCCTGGAGCACTGGCCAGGGAGGAGCTCTCCAGCTGACACCCAAGACAGGGGACAGTTCTGAGGAGCTGCACAAGAGCATGGATACAAAATAAAACAAAAGAGCAAAAACAGCAGATCAACAAGGAGAAGAGAGGCCAAAATCTACATGCACGAACCCAGGCCCCTGCACCTCAATGGAGGACTAAGTGTAACCCATAAGGAAAATGAGAAGTTGAAATTCGGAAAGGGAGAGGAAAGGTGTTAGGCTAAATGTGAGCCTGGGGAAGGAGGAAGAAAGGTAAATTTTTCAACTGGTATCTAATCTCTGCCGAGTCCTTTATTTTTTGTGTAAAGGAGAGTCCTGTATGTTTACTAATCTTGGTGCTGACAATTATAGCATGTTTTGTGCTCTATTGCAGTCAGCATCTTTAAAACAAAAACAACGACAACTGAAAACGTAGCATATCAAAATAAAAAGCAAATTCAGACAAACAGCTTTTTCACACTGCTAGGACAGTTTAAAGTCACTGAGGCCAAGCAGCGCCCACCCCTGAGGTTTTGGCTCCAGAAAGTGACTAACTCCCCTTATGCAAATAAACAAACATCTATCTGTTCTTGCATCCATACCTCAAAAAAAAAAAAAAAAAAAAAAAAAATCTGTAAATAGTGCAACTTAAAAGCGCCTGTGAAATACAGCATGAAGCTGTGAAAAGCAGCATACCATTCCACTGCTTGCAGTAATTTCAACGGCCTTGAGAAGCCCAGCTGTGTTATAATAAACAAACCAGATGAAATTTGTAATACTGAAACCTTACAAGTCCAATCTGACTGTGCAAACAGAAAGGCAGGCATACAGCTGTTCCTAACGCAAGCTAAAAATTCTTGGTACCACAATGCAAATGATTTGCAATGAAAAAAAACAGCAGTACAAGCAATCCTCCAAGTCTTGCTTGAGATTTCCTTCTTTGCCTGACAAGCAGTCTTTCCTGCTTCTTGTGCTGTAATGAACACATTTTCGTAAGTCTGAAACAAGGATGAAAACAACTCACTAAGAATATTTTCGAGCAGTATTTCAGAAGTTGTATGCAAACACAGTACCAGCTTCTTCTGACAGAACTCAAGTGCATTTGCAGCTAGATAAAGACGCAGTCCTTTGACAGCTTTCTAAGGAAAAAACACTTCAAACTTCGATGGAAGCAACAAGTTCAGTATTAGAATTTGAGCCTACATTTTAAGGAGTGAAAAACTCAGCCTTCAAAAAATTCCACACTTCTAATTTGCTAAGAAAATGTTACTACACGTGAGGGGAGCGAATAACTGTCCTCAGAAGAAAATTCCACACAGAATTTCTGCTTCACCTAGGGGATGATTTTAGCAATATATCATTTCCTCAAAAATCCACAGCACTGAATGGCATTGTTTCTATATCTTTCTATATCTGCTTCAACAGACAGATTCTATACTCTACAGTCACCACTGCAAAGAAACACAGCCAATTAAAAATATACGACCAAGTAGATTTTAAATAAAATTTAAAACATTTATACCATTGGAACTGTAAAGAAAATTAGATTTAGTTGTGTAAGTCATAATTCCTATAGATGTCAGGAGGGTTCAAAAAACAGCATTAACATTCCCATTCTGAAAAACTACAGTTTTTGGCTCTGTAGCAAAAATTAGTTGACAAATCCACTTCACTCAAAATTGGAAATTTTCTGGTCATGTAGAAGATCTGCAGTGAAGGTTTAACTAAGGATTTAACTGATTTAACATTTAACTGATGATAAGCTGTTACCCTATCAAGACACTTTTTTTTCATTTCCTTATCTTCGAGTTCTCTCAAAGCATTTTAATAAGTTAGAAACAAAATTATACTGTTTTTATAAGTTTTTAATTCTCTGATTAAGTGACTAATCCAGCTGGCCCTATTTCCAGTAGCGAGATGGTTCAGATTACCTGGTGAAACCCCATCGAGACTAAACTGTTCTATGATTCAAAAATGTTGTCTACCCTGTATGAAACTTTGGCTCTGAGACAAATTTCACTAAAATATTCTGTATCCACTCACAGTACATTTGAGTACAATTTATTATTATATCATAAAACACAGCAGATATTTGCTTTGAAAACTAAGGGGTACTTGCTGCGGTAAATGCAAACAGCAGGTACGTTGCAGATAGTTGGGAAGAAAAGTTTTCTGGTGATTTAACTTGTATGTAACACTTTTTAACATTAATTAAATCACATTCTGTACTAAACATTTATTTTCCCCATGATGATTCCTAAGAACACAATGTGTGTGAGATATATAAAAATATATACAAATACATGCATATAAATATACATATACATATTAAAAATATATATATAAATACACATAGGACTATTAAAAGAGTTTGTATCTCTGAAACTGATTCTTTCCTAGTGGTTTGAGCGTAGAGCTTCTCCTTAAAAGTATATGAACTTTTTTTTTCCTTTTCCTCCTATATAAAAACATGAGCATTTAAAATGTATAACACATTTGTACACAGTTACAGTGAAAAACTGGGCAACTTTCAATCATGATATGTTTCTTGTGCAACTTCTTCAAAATTCCATCCTGTAAAATATAAGCTATTTGTTCTGTAACAGACAAGTCATGATCATCACAAAGAATATTTAAAGAGGAGAAAGTGACCTAATATTGCAAGAGTAGTTTCACAAGGAGAAGAGGGTAGATTTGGCTCAAAAGCAGAACTGACTTGACTACTCTAAGATGCTTCATAAATAAAATACTTTCATAACAAACATGTAAGGTTGCAACACCCAGAAAGTCCCAGAACTCCCAGGAAATTACTGTCCACGTCACAGCATGACTAAACTTTCTAAAAATGGTCTCAAAAGAATGAGGTTCAAAAGGAACAGAAAAAAATAAAAGAAAAAAAGAAAAAAAAAAGTTTGGTCTTCCCTTTACAATCTGTTTAGATCTTCAGCAGACGCAAGCACTCTCCATTATGTTTCACTCTCTCAAGACAGGCTATCGCTACATCATTTTCTCATGGCCTTCCAATATCCTGTCCTGCTCATAATCCTTGCACTGCACGACCTCAGGAAATCTCCAATCAATTCACCCAAACACACTCACTCTCACTCCCCCCTTGAAACATTTTTCTTGATTCTTCTACCATGAAGGAACTGTTTTCCATGACCTAGCAGTTGGATTTAGATTGGTTTAAATCTAGGAGTGTTTATAAAAACAAGTAATGATCTTTATGTCCTCAAAAACAATCTTTTATAGCCTCTTAACCTTTTCCCAAAATTCTATAATGGGCTTCTGCAAGACCAATATAACGCAGCCAAGACATGCTATTGATATTGCAAGCCAAAAACACAAGAAGTTTTTTAAAAATAGAATTGCAATGACATTTTTAATATGTTGATTTTAATCTGGCTAATGATGGATTTACACAGGAAAGTTTAATCCTGAAGTGACATGACTTACACAAAATCATGGGAAGCTTGCTTTCTTTCTGATGATATCGTAGATTGTCTGAAAATCCCTGTCATTTGAAGAGCCTTATTTTGAGGATTTCTCACAAAGGACTGAAAGCAATTGTGGGAGGAAGAAGAGTCCTGATGTGAAAGCTATGCACTAGATCTTGGGAGAACTGAGACCACTTTCACAACTAAGCAGGTATGTGAACATGTCATTTTTATGGATTGTCCCTCTCTACACTCTGTAGACTGAGAAAGATGATAGATCATGCACATCTCTCATCAGGTCTTTGAACTAGTGATCATCTTCTTTTACAGTACATCAAGTACAAAAAATACAATCTCAGTTGAGGACTCCAGGACCTAGAGGAAAACGCACACACTTCCATGACCCCATCACCCACATCCCTACACTCTAAAGAAAAAAAAAAAGAGACTATTAAGAGTTTTAGTCAAAGTGAACACATGCATGACAGCACGATAGTCATCAAATGCATTAGATCAGAAAAGCAAACTCTTTATGTACTCTTAGGACCGTCAGCATTGAAATTCCTGCAAATCGCATTCCCCAGCATTTCAAATTTCTTTAATTCTTTCTAGAATTTGACAAATGTTCAATAATTTGTCTGAAAATTAATCATCCTGAAGCAAGCATCTGAATTAGATTGTCAGTCTGCATGCAAAATTTCACTTAAATAAGACCTCTAAAAAAGTACTAATTCTCTGAAGGCTGTAATTATTAAACATACTTTATTGAAGACTCAGCCTGCACTGGGCATGCACAATTCCCACATGGAGCACTTATGTTCTAGCTGAATTATACTGCAGGCCAGTATACTCTGTCTCAAGATTTAAGGTTTACTGCATTTCCCATGCTTGCAGTCAGTTACCACCGCGGTGTGGGGATAAAACTAAAAAAGGCCACTAAATTTTTATAATACAGTGCTCAAATCCTGCCAATCCTAAAGTCACTGAAACTTCATATCCCTTCTTTCTCTCAGATTTAAATTTGTTTCCCCCGCTTTTTAAATCTTCTCTAGGATAAGAAGTGTGCCAAATTTTAGGAATTCAAGGATTTCTCTTTCTGATGGATACTGAGGGTGCAGAAGTAGAGATGTTAATGTAGTACCAAAATTCACATTTATAGCACAGTTGTGGTCCATCTTCAGTTACTGAGTGATTGCTGCCGTTCCTTTAGTACACCACTTTCTTCTTAACGCTATGCCATTAACATTCTGAAATATTAATTAGTGGCTTTGAGGTCATCTTCAGTACCTCAACTATGTCAGGATTCTTCAAAATAAGGAGAGAAGAAACATGAACTTTGTAAGATCCAAGG